CGGCGGGCGTCTGAAGAAGCGCGCGCCAGGCCCCTCAGGTACTGTTCCGGAGACCGCATTTCCCCAAATTCCTCAGCTTCAGAGCAACAGAAAGGCACGTGGGAAGGGAGATGATGAAAGACAAAACCTTTTAAGTTGTTTTTTTTTTTTTTAAATAACCGTTAAGAGACGTCAACGGAGCAAATTTGGGAGGAGAGGAAATCTGAGAGGCACAAATCCAGAAAAAAACTAGCAATAGCCACGCCCAGACCTTGCCTGTAATACGATCCCCATGTCAGAGTGTTGACTTTTTAGGACAATGCGTTTCCAAGTACTAGCTGCAGGCGGTGGACTTTCACAATTTTGCTCTCTGAAAAAAAACAAAAAAACATTTGTGTTGCGTGGGCCAAAATGCCTTATTGAGAACGCATTGATTCAAGTGATTATTGTTGTTATGATGATGATGATTATTATGATATATTTGTGCAAAGTAGTCTTAACGCGCTATGTTGCTACGTTCGTGTTGCCGTGTTGTTCGAAGAATTTATTTTGCTACCCGTGTACTGTATCTGGTGATTATACATCGTGATCATTACAAACTCAACACTCATGTGGCTTATTTTCATACGTCAATTGTGTTGGGTGCCTCTGGAGAACATCGACGAAAAACGCAACTTTCCCAGCGGTATTAGACAAATAGCAACAAGGATAGTTTTGATCCCCAACTCATGAAACCTGAAGAAACAGATTTAATGAGGTTACGTCATTAGATACCCGCCTGCCAACTGATGATCCATTTGACCTCTCATTCCAGAAGTAAGGCTAAGCGACTCTTTCCAATGCCAAATAGGGAGCCCACTTGTTGCTATTCTTCAGAAGGCAACTATTTGACCTGCCAAATACCGAGTTAACTTGCAGCTCTCTTTTCATACACACCGCTAAGAGACTATTAGGCTAGCTAAATAGTAAGCCCAATTGTAGCTGTGTTTCCTTTCACTTGACAAATAGTGATCCCACTTTTGGCTCTGGTTCCATCAGAAACTCACCTACCAAATAGTGAGCCGACTTGTTGCTCTCCACCTCCTGAATCATCAATTCCATCTACCAAATATCGAGTTCACGTGCAAGAACTCCTTCATGACCAGAATTAAGCAACTATTACACCTGCCAAATAGTGAGCCTACTTGTAGCTCTTATTCCAAAACTCTTTGACTTGCCAAATAGTGAGGTCACTATTGCTCCTAAAAGTGTGCATCGTCGGGGAGAGTAATGGTGGGGAGGGAGGGGCTGGGGGGGTTCAACCTCCCCCAAGCAGGGATTTCCAGCTCTCACTTGAAAGTGAAGTACGCTGTTATTATCGCTGGGCTTCAATTACGCGCCACTTCAAACGCCGTAATCCTGCCTCATGATCTTTTGCGCCGTCGCTCCTTCCTTCAGATTTCAAAGACAAACACACACACACACACACACACACGATTGGACAGACAAGGTTCATCTTGTTGTCTCCCTGATGCCCAGATAGGGACTTGCTAGTCTCAACGACAACCAAAGAATGCCAACATCCACTCAACAATGGTGTGTGTGTGTGTGTGTGTGTGTGTGTGTGTGTGTGTGTGTGTGTGTGTGCGCGTGCATGTGTGTGTGTGTGTGTGTGAACGCCACGGTCACTCGTGTGTGTCGACATTGTGTGTCGACATTTATTTATAATAAGTTAATAAAGATACACTGTACGTTATTCCTCTCGTATCTGTGCAATGTTACGCTCGCTATCGGCCGTACGGTGCGCATTACATGTAATGCGAATGTCCTCTTGTGCCGCACATTAAAGTCTTTCCACCACCTTCCTGTCTCCATTGTAGTGTTTTTTTAGTTTTTTTAGAGGGGGAGGCATGGTGCCCTTTTCTGTTTGTCCTTTTGGATAAAATTAGTTGAATCACTCTCAACATTTGAGCATACGTCATAAGAAATGAGGAAAAGGCCATTTTTTGACTCCACAGTGTCTAGCTCGCGGCATCGCGCCCTTTTCTGTCGGCCCGCAATCTCTTCTCAGATCAAATTCATTGACTTTGCTGCATCACTCCATTTTCTCGCTGCCCACAATCTCCTTTAAGGTAAAATTTGTGGTCACTCATTTGTCGAGCAGATTCACTGTCATCCCATTTGAGGATACACGGCTAGAAACGATGACAATTACAATGTTGTTTCCACTCTGATGTAGTGCTCCTTTTTCCGAAGCTCACAGTCTCCTCTCAAATAAAATTTGTGGTCGCACTGATTGGTTATGGAAACATTTGAAGATACACAACTATAAATGACGAAAATACTAACATAACCTTCAAAGTCTCTAATTTTCTACAGTGCTCCATTTTCAAATTTGTGACCGCATATGAAGATACACCGCTAAAAGTGACAAAAATTATAATATTGGCTCCACAGTGGCCTATTTGCTCCATCACTCTATTTTCCCATTGCCCGCAATCTCCTCTTGGATAAAACTTGTCATTGCTTGCGCCTGCACCCCACATCATTCAGCAATTAAAGCTTATCTGGTGCTAGCAACCGCCCAAGTAGGGAGAGTTGGATTATGTTGTTTACATTTCTCTCATTGTTTGCACGTCAGCTCGCGGACAAAGCAGCCGTTAGCTCAGCGGCGAGTACCACGCTCCACCCCACCCTAGTTCGGTTCAGGAAAGCAGGACAATCAGTGCGCGGCCCCACCCTGGCACAAACAACAGAAACATGTGCAAAAGGTTTACAGACAGCATCAAAGGAGAATATTTCACTTGTGGAGGAAGTACTGCCAAATTGAAATATCCTTAGGAAGCAAACTTATATACTACATGGTCGTTTATGTCTGCTATGTGGACTAATATTCGTATACTGCAGACAGACAGACATGCAAACCCCCCGCACCCACATAGGAAGGTTGCTTCAGGGAAGGTTGGGTTTTTTTTTCCTTCCCATTGATGCTTCCTTACGTTTAGGAAAAATAAGATGCTAAATAAGTGGTCAAACCAAAGACATGTATGAATGAGTGAACACTGACACGTGAATAATACAAGAAAGGCTGCATGAAATTGAGATAGCTATGAGTAACAAATTACATAACTTCCAAATAACAAGATGTAGTAGTTTATTGGGTTTTATTTTTTTCCAAGAATTAATTTCATTTCAAATTATCGTTCGTTTCTAAACTCAACTAATTTGAATATTGCTGACAACAGCTTCCAATTCCTCTCTCAACCACAAAACATGTCCAGTGCTCCCATCTTGTGGTCAATGATAGTACACACAGGTCGGGAAAAAAAGGAAGTTGATATAAATGATCCTGATATAAACTGCTCAAAAAAAAAAATTAAGGAAACACTTGGAGTTACATTGTGCTGTTTGAGTGTTTCCTTTTTTTTCTTTTTTCCGCAGTAAATATATAAATGAACCTTATTTGTGGAAAACAAGCTCTCAATTGGAAATGTGTCTGCTTTTTTTCCTGTCAACGGCAGCAGAATCCTTTTCGATCTAGAGCGGTGATCTGCTAGAAAGAAGAGACCTCTACAGGTACATGCGTGGATTTGCAGGGCCACGTACCCACTTCAAAAAAAAAAAAGAAAAAAGCCAGGGGGTTCCTTGTTTGTAAATGGTGTGCTCTGGAGCTGCCCTGGACAACGCAATGTGCTGAAAGGCACACTTTCCTTTCATCGTGAGCATTGTTAGTCCTGCGCAGTGTGTGTGCAACACGCAACACAATGAAAGACAACAGCAGCGATTGATCTCAAAGTTGAGTTCCAAAAGTTTTACAATCCTAAAGTTTACGCCACAATCTCCGCTTGGATAAATCAGTGAGTCTTGGATGGACAGCTATAAATAACCAATCTAACGTACGTTAGCTCCAAAGGCCCCACCTTGCTGCAGTGCTGCCCTTACTCTCCTTTTGGATAAAATATGTCGTCGCTTGTTGGTCAAGTATTGTCATTGTAAACTTTGAGGACACGTGGCAAAAAATGAAATGCTGTTGTTAGCTCCTCAATTTCCACTTCTCTTTCTGGTTGCCCACAGTCTTCCCTCGGATAGAATTTGTGGATCTCATATGTTTAGCTGATTTATCATAGTAACTTTTGCGCATACAGCACTAAAAATGACATGAAATGCAAACGTTCGCTCTTTAGACTTTGTTACTTTGCTTTCTCACTGCCCACAGTCTCCTCTGGGATAAGAAATTGTGGTTGCTCATGGTTGTGATATTTGAGGATCCACTGTTTAAAAATGACAAGGAATGCTCATTTTAGCTCCATATTCTTCACTTTACTTTGTTTTCGTGGTGCCCCAGTCTCCTCAGAGAAAAAAATTGCAGTCACTTATTGGTTAGAAATAATTTCTTAATTTGAATTTCATAATATATAAATATCCATCCATTTTCTAATCTGCTTCTCCGCACAAGGGTGGAGGACAATATATAAATAACAATTTAATAATTTGAGGATACACCACTAAAACGGACAAAATTATAACAGCATAAATGCCCCACAGTCGTCACGGGAGGAGGCACTTTATTTTCTCACTACCCACAGTCTCCTCTCGGATAAGATTTCCGGAAAAAAAAAATATATATATATATATATATATATATATATATAGAAAATGCGCATATTCTCATGATTATTCCAACTTCCGGCGGGGAAGATTTGACCCGCTCGCCGACCCGGAAGCAGACGCTAGTCGCGAGTTGCTTCCCATCGGTGGAGTAAAGATGGCTGACCAGGGCGCCGCAGATCCTGCTAATAACAACAATCAAGTTGACGCCGGGGAGGGCACCATCATTAAGGTCACCGTGAAGACCCCCAAGGACAAGGAAGAAATCGCCATCGCTGAAGATTCGTCTGTCACGCAGGTTCATGGCGGCTTTTCGAAGGCCGGCGGCGGGCGGGGGGCTTGCTGCGCGTGTGCGGGGAGGGGGAAGAGAAGCGAGCGTCATGCCCACAACTTCAGCTAAACAGCTAGCTTCGTTAGCATCAACGCCGCGCTTACCGGCAAAGTGCGACACCTTTGAAATCATATTTTTTTTACACTTAGACTATCGCCTCTTTTTTTTCAACAAACATGTATGCGCATTATTATTAAACTTTCCAAACAGACATATATAGTCGCGTTTAAATGTGCGCTGTGGCTAACCGGTTAGCTGATAAGCTAGCGGTGCTAACTCAACGTTAGCTGTGTCGTCAACGCAGTGTCAGCTGACGCTCGGAGTATAAAACTGTGCCCGATTGTTCCAAGCCCTCGTGGGGCTGTCTTCGAGTGTGTTTTGGGGATTGGCCAGTTGCCGCCGCCTTGCTCCACATTTTGGCCAAGCTAACGGCGGCGTTCTCGAGTCTGGAACATTCTTCACTGTCACCGCCACCGACTGACTGAGTCATTGCTCGTTCAGCCTCCCTGGGAATTCACACTCAAGACCCGCAGCGCCCGTTGGCTTGGCGACGCGTTCAAGCGCCGTAACACAGCATCACTTGGAAGTTATTATTCACCTCAAGCAGTAGATGTAATCATCTGCTTTCATACAAGCATCACGGAATAGCTGGAACTGGGATTTCAATCATCCCTACAGAAAAATAGAACACCATTGTCTTTTGATGGAAAAAAAATCAACATGCATGTATCGATAGTTAAGACTAGGAATGTACAGATACCACATATCTGTACAAGTACAGGACTTCATTTGAGTAGTCCCCAAAACCAAGAAACCGATAGCAAGTTAAACAAAATAGTGTTAAAAACGTACACTTTTGTTGAGGATGACGTATTTGTACAAATATGACTGCATGCTTTTTAGGGCTGCAGCAAATGATTATTTTAGCAATCGATTAATATCTTGATTATTGTTGTTTAGACTGGAGTGTCAATAAACAGAATAAATAAGATTATGGTCAGAGAAGAACAAAAGAGTCTGTCAACTTGTGAATAGCGTAGCCCGAGTAGGCATGTGTTCACTGCACATCGTAAACAACTCTCCCTTTAGTTGAGGCCATACTGTAGTTTGTTTACCAGCTGATCAGTTGTTAACTTCCACTCTGCATGCTCGAGGACAAGGGAAGAAACGGTTCTCACTCTCACATTTCAACGACTACAAAGTACCATAAAATGTTGTAAACCATTAACACTGGTCAGGGGTCATCTTGTTTGCCCTTGACGGTCTTCTTCCGGCAGCACAGTGTTGTCATAATTAGGATGGCGAGAAGTTCTGGATTACCTCAAGAGTCAAAATTGTCAATAGATGTGATTTGGGTTTTTCAACAAGTGTCCTGCAATTTACTGCGTGTCACTTGGGGAACAAACACATCCGGTATTGCTAATCAAACAGAACGCAGAAGTTTGGGTTTGAGATTATTAGGGTATTTGTACGCAAACGAATGCTCGGACTACATTACAGAACTAAAATGCTATATTTTTATTTTTAACCATTACTTTCTTGACATATTTGGCTGTCGTTCGTCTTTTAGTTCAAGGAGGAGATCTCCAGGCGTTTCAAAGCCAAGCAAGACCAGCTGGTGCTGATTTTCGCAGGCAAGATCCTGAAGGACGGCGACAGCCTCAGCCAGCATGGCATCAAGGATGGGCTGACGGTGCACCTGGTTATCAAGACGGCACAGAAGTAAGGCGGTGCGCTGGTCAAATAGTAGCCCCAAACCGGAAAATGTTGATAGTTTAAAATTAATATTAATCCGTTTGGATGAATAAATCCTGTCTAAGTAAACTCTCCCATTTACTGTGGGCTATATCAATCTGCATAATTTATTAAATGCCATGTTGAGGGGCTGGAGATCGGTTTTTGGGTCAGCATTATCAGCGTAGTCAATAATATGTTGTGGTATGAGTTTCCAAACACCCCATTTGCTTGTCGACTTTCTGGACAATCAACCACCATGATGTGTTCAAAGTTTAAATCTGCTACTGCTAATGGTGGCTAATTTAAGTAAAGAGCATTGAATATGTTTTACTTTGCTTAACTATTTTTTTATTAAAATCATGTCGTCTTTCTTGGATTTGCGAAGAGATGGGGCTTCTGTTCTACATTCTAATATCCATAGCATATAATTGAACAGAACAATCTGTGTGTGTAAGGGGGGGGCGGGGAGGTGATTTAAAATAAATAAAAAGAAGTGGACCCAAGATTGATCCCTGAGGATCATCTCTTGGTTGAGTTAGTGAAACAGACTTGCAGAAAATGCATTTTCCACTTTGTGGAAACAGTAAAAAAACAACTGAACCCCAAGTTAACACGCTTCTTAAAAATTCTCTGTCATCATCTCGCTTGGAGGGCCTCAGATGGAGGCAGCACTTCGACTTCAAGCTCCACGTCCACCCCGGCAGGAAGCGCCGGCGCCCCCAATGCAGGCACCGCGCCTTCCTCCACCGCTGGGTCCACCGCCGGCTCCACCCCGGTGCCCACACAGACGCCCGGCCTGCTGAGTGAGTCCGCCGGTTTCCCGCGGCCGTCTGAGGAAACGCACCGTCGCCTTCAGCTGCATCCCCTTCCATTTCCCGCAGGCGGTTTCGGCGACCTGTCCACTCTGGCGGGTCTGGGCATGGGCTCGGCCAATTTCATGGAGCTGCAGCAGCAGATGCAGCGGCAGCTCATGTCCAACCCGGAGATGCTCTCGCAGCTCATGGAGAACCCGCTGGTGCAGAACATGATGTCCAACCCGGACCTGATGCGGCAGATGATGGTGTCCAACCCGCAGATGCAGCAGCTGATGGAGCGTAACCCGGAGATCTCGCACATGCTCAACAACCCCGAGCTCATGAGACAGGTGGGAGGAACTCTCGGGGAGCCAACCCATTTAAAAGACTTGACGGACTGGTTTTTGACTCCTCCTTGTCCCTGTTGCGTCCCTCTCTCCAGACCATGGAGCTAGCTCGCAACCCGGCCATGATGCAGGAGATGATGCGCAACCAGGATCGGGCGCTCAGCAACCTGGAAAGCATCCCGGGCGGCTACAACGCCTTGCGCAGGATGTACACTGACATCCAGGAGCCCATGTTCAGCGCCGCCAGAGAGCAGGTAAACTGTCACTAGAATTGTTTGTTTTTAGGAAAGAGCGACACTAAAAGTTTGTCTTCTTGGAACAACCATGCAGATAAATATGACAAACCAAAAAAAGTCATCGCAACTTCAAAATGTTCAGCATTTCGTTGTAGAAGGCCAAAATATTCAGTAATCCCTCAAGCAAATTTTCTGCGTTCTCGTAATACTCTCATTTCTTATCATCACTCGTTTTTCACCAGAAACAAATATCGTTGAAATGACTGGATCGAAGTTGACAAGTTTACTCTTCAATTCACCGAATCGTTTCAAAATGTGCACTATTCCAAAAATTGCTACTGTTTGAGGAAGCGCAAACGTCGACACTTCTTAACCAACCCGAACCACTCAGTTCTCAAAATATTCAGCTCATTCACGACATTCTGGCAACTATTTTTTTTCCACATTTCCAAAATTACTTGTTTCCTCACAACATTTGTCTGAACGAAAGTTGAACTCAAATGATTGACGTCATTCAAATCGAAAGTGTGATTTAAAAAAAATGTTTTAATATACTTATTGAAGGCCTGATTTTTCCATGAGATAATGAACAAAATAATGGAATTTAATAATTCAATATTTGAGATGACTGTCATCAAAAGAGTCTGACCGAGAGCGCTCAGGGTTGTCTCGTTCCTCAGCAGTTTGGCAACAACCCCTTCTCGGCCCTCGGCGGCGGCTCAGAGTCCGGCGTCCAGCCGTCGCGGACGGAGAACCGCGAGCCCCTTCCCAATCCCTGGGGTCCGCCCAATGCCTCGAACCCCCCGGAGAGCGCCGGAGGCGGTGGCGGCGGCCCGGCGGGAGGCACCAGCACCAGCACCCCCGCCGCTGGCACCAACCCCACTGTGTCCAACCCGCTGGGCGTCAACCCGGGCAGTCTGGGAAACGGTAAAATGGAGACGTTGGACTTTGAAAGAAGACATCCTGCCAGTTCAGCAAATGTTTTATTTTTTGTTTGTTTGTTTTTTTTTTCCCCAGGAATGTTCAACAGTCCGGGCATGCAGAGCCTCCTGCAGCAGATCTCGGAAAACCCCCAGCTCATGCAGAACATGCTGTCGGCCCCCTACATGCGCAGCATGATGCAGTCGCTGTCCCAGAATCCAGAGTTGGCCTCCCAGGTGGCTACTTTAGCAAGAGCAGACCGACTAAAATAAAATAAAAACAGATGAAGACGCCATGACAACCATTTGTAGGATCCTTTTGGAGTCTCTCAATTTGGAACTTGTAAATTCCCCCAATTTTGACATGAAGTGGCCATTTTAGATTCACTTTTCATCATTTCCTCCACTGAGAAAAAACTTCTGGAGATTTTGACCTGTTGCTTCCCAGACAGTTTTACTTGGCAATTTGAAATTTGGCTTGCATGTCTATCATGAGTAGAGACACACACACACACACACACACACACACACACACACACACACACACAAAAAAGTCTCAAGAAGCCGTGGCTTCATCGAAAGAGGCAGTCTGTCATGTCATCTCGAAGCAGCCGTTCAAGAGTCAATCGGACCATTTCTAGATGATGAGTGCGATGACTCGGCGTAAAATGTCAAACTCGAATGATGTCGCTCATGTGTGAGATGGTCTCACACATGAGATTTGTTCTTGATACTTGTCCATGTCTTCACAGGTGATGATGAATAATCCCTTGTTTGCCGGCAACCCACAGCTGCAGGAACAGTTCCGATCTCAGCTTCCCGTCTTTTTGCAGCAGGTAGCGTAGTCGTTTTCTTGTGTTCTCAATAAATAAAAACATTTAAAGGGCGTCATTTGTAGAGATTAGGTCAGGTGTGTCAAACTCATTTAACATTGTGGGCCACATAAGGCCTCGGTAGATGTCAAGTGGGCCGGACCATTAAAATTATACCATACTCTGCTATAAATAACCAAAATAACATGTCTTTGATTTGGTTTAAAGAAGCACAAGAACATTAGGAAAATGTTGCAATTAAATGAGCATATCTTTTACAAAGCATTTCATGAAGCACCTTAGATTTCCTTCGACAAATGTGCAATTGACTTTGATCATTCACATATATGCATTGCAACTGATCCCACTGATTGTACAAAGGCACAAAACTTTAACAAGTAATTGGTATTGAAAATATAGTCATGCACTTTAAGATTAAACGAGATTTATAAAGAAAGGAATTTTAAAACCATTTACACATGTGCATATAAAATCTAAATTTAATCCCTGCCTACATCTTACAAACTAAGGAGAGCGCTATTAAATGTGTACAGAATAAAATATTCACATGTCCTTGATAGCGTCTGCTGTGTCTTGTACTCTGATCAAAACAGTGTGTCCCCCTAGCGGATACTCCACGAATTGCACCTTATTAAAAATATTATTTCCGTGTCTTTTATGCATTTTTCCACTTTTAAATGATCCTGCGGGCCTGATCGAACGTCCTCGGGGGCCGGTTCCGGCCCGCGGGCCGTATGTTTGGCACCCCCTTTTGATTGTTGTCCGTTTTGTTTTCAGATGCAGAACCCAGAGGCGTTATCGGTGATGACGAACCCGCGCGCCATGCAAGCGCTCATGCAGATCCAACAGGGCCTTCAGACACTGCAAACAGAAGCACCCGGACTCATGCCCAGGTAAGCTCCACAAGCACATAAACAGAATCAACATTTGCGCCACTGTTGTTTATTTATTGATTTTTTTACGTCTGTGTGGATCTCTTTTGCCACAGTTTGATGTCAGGCGGCCTTCCCGGTAGCATCCCCGGCAGCATTCCCGGCATCCCATCGGGCGGCAGCGCGCCCACCGAGAACCCCGCGTCCTCGCCCAGCAGCGCCGGGACACCGCCAAACGTCGCCCAGCAGCAGCTGATGCAACAGATGCTTCAAATGTTCGCCGGGGGAGGCGCTGCGGTACGCACGCACTCACACACACACACACACACACACACACACACACACACACACACACACTGGCGCGCACGTTCTCTCAGGTCGTCACTCACGTTCAGAGTCAAAATTGCCACTTGCCTTGATTCAAATCTGCGCACCCTGTCACGATGAACAGTTAAGCTTACTTTTTTTTTTTTGTAGCCAATACCGTTTATGATATTAGGCAGAAGTAAAATCAGATAATCGGCCAATTATTTTGAAAAATATATAATTTTTAAAAATGGCGTACTTTGGAGGGGTCTTGTCCTAGCAGAACTTTTGATTGTTTTACAATATTTTGTTCTTTAGGATTTAACTTTTCAGGTTCATACATACAGAGCGTCCCAAACTATTACGCAAATGATGTTTTTCTTCGATTTTTGTCATTGGTTTATGCAAATGGAGTTCATCATAACTTTCTTGTCATGAGCTGTCCAAAAATAATTAGAATGTTTTTCAACAATCCTCCCATTGATAAGGGTGTGTGTGTGTGTGTGTGTGTGTGTGTGTCTGTATGTGTGCGGAACTCCAGCCCATTATTATTTTTGAAAAGCCCGAGTAGCGGCCCCTTGATCTGTGGGGCCCTAGTGCTCAATTTCTCAAACTCCAGGGAAGTTTTTACAGGTTAGCCTTTCAAAGAAGTGGCCAGATTGGCCCTAAAACGGCCACATCACAGCAAAATGTCAGTTTTTGTTTGAAAACAATTATTTATTTATTTTTTTGAGACAGAAACTTCTGTGGATCTACTAAATTTCAACCCTGCGCACCGCCCGCAGGCAATACTCAGTATGTGTGTAATGTGGCTTCAAGTTCCTTTTGAAAATAATCCGCTTCCACCCCGGGCAGAACCAGACCCCCGAGGTCCGCTTCCAGTCGCAGCTGGACCAACTGAACGCCATGGGCTTCATCAACCGCGAGGCCAATCTACAGGCCCTCATCGCCACTGGAGGGGACATCAACGCCGCTATCGAGAGACTGTTGGGCTCGCAACCCTCGTAAAGACACATTCTCACACACACACACAGTACATTCTGCCGCCTGACACACACACACACACACACACACATTTGTGTGTATTTTTGTTTTTGGGGGTCGGGGGGGCTTCAAAAATGAGACTAGTTTTTGATTAAATGTTTTGTTCCAAATTATTCTGCAATGTGGTGTTCCAATATATTTTATAGGATTAAAAAAAATATATATATATATATCACAGGCACGTCATGCCACATCCACAGACAAAAAGTTTCGCAAATTGATCCCAAACTTTAACAAAGACACTTTGGGCAAGATCTGATGCCTCCCTTTTTTTTTTTTTTTTTTTTTTTTTTTTTGTCACCGCCCCCCTCCCCTGCTCCATTCCGATATTTGTCCCTCTTCTGTTGGCGCCATCCACTCAGAGTCTCCCATAGGTGGTCACCTTCATTTCGTGGCAAAAAAACGGGACGGCCTCTCCGTTCTCGAGCTCAAAGCACGCAATGCGCTTGGCCTGCCGCGGCTCGACGGGTGCGCGCGAACCAAGGTGTCGTTTGTTCCTCCCGACTTCCCGCTTTCTGTTCTCGATCAAAGCAACGTTTGCTCCAACTTCGCGGCTTTCCAAATGATGCCCTCCGCACGTGTAGTTTGTCATTCCAGGTTCAACAGAAGAAGAAGAGAAAAAAAAAGTGTCTTTGTGTGTCTGAGGCACCGCTGCTGTGCCTTTTGTGTCCTTACCTTCAATGCGAGACCCCCACGTGTGTGTGTGTGTGGATGTAGGGAAAGGGGGGTGGGCGCAAATGAGGGGTGGGCGCGAGTTAAAACCATGCATCCGCACATCACTGGACTTATTGGACGCAAAGAGTTGGCATCCGCAACGCTGACATTATGAAGCAAAATGAGATTTTCTTTCACTTTAATCTGATGATTTACTTCTTTTGAGTCTTTTTTTTTTCGGGGGGGAACATGTAAATTAAACCATGAATCAGTTGAATCAGTTGGCTTGACAAAAGAATTCTAGTATGGCCTGCCATACGTTTCTGAAGAAAAATAAACAAACGCTAGATCGTCATATATCTCCATTTTTTTTTTCTCCTTTGGAAAATCTCAGCATTGTAGTTGTGGTTACCGTGGCAACTGCTTCTCTGGCTTTGCTTTGTTCGATGACCTCAGCTGAAAACAACAAAATTAAAGAAAATCCATCTCCCAATTTGAACATGTTGGAACTAACTTTTAACAGTCCTGTACTAAAAGAAAAAATAAAATAAAAATGAAACGTCAAAAACTTTGCGCACTGTCTTAGTGGATTCAAGACAAGTTGGTATCGAGAAAACTGTTCAGCTCACAGAGGAACATGAAATGTCCCATGCCAAAATTTTTGTCCTGTTAAAAACAAAATTTTGAGTCAAGACATAATTTATGTCAATGACAAAAATCATTCAATCCAAACCAGAAACTCCAAAATTAGCAATTTTAGGGTACAGCTTTTTATCTGGTGTAATTTGTGGAAATCGTTTTTGCCAAGTTTTTGGTTTTTCACAAAATTCTTGCTTTTTAAATCTGTTAAACTTTTTTAAAATACTAGCGCTATTTCCCGCTCAGTTGCTAAATCGTTCGTCAACAGCTCAACCAAAATTAGCAGCTGACAAACCCCTCAAAATGTAATTTATTTATTTTATTTTGTTTTTACATTTTTTTTTCTGGATCTGACAGGACCAAAAGTTGCAGCTTGCAAAGTTTTGGTATTTTAATTTTTTTTTTTAACTTTATTTTCACCAAATGCTAAATCGTTCGTCAACACATCAACCAAAAGTAGCAGTTGACAAAACCTAAAAAAAAAAAAAAATATCGGACTCAACCAAAAGTTGCAGCTTCCAAATTTTGGCGTTTTAAATTTTTTCATTTTTATTTTTTGTATTTTTTTTGTACTTTCACTAAAAAGCTGAATTTGAAGGACCGGTGCAAAGAGACTCAACCAAAAGTAGCTGCGTGCAGCACCCCCTTGTGGCTCGGACAAGGAACTACAACTTTTTCTGCTCTTTGAATTAAGTCTCTTATGAAAAAACCCCATCCGATTAGAAAGCAAACAAAAACTGGTCTTCAACGACACAGTCCAGCCCTTAGCCAACATGGCTGACGTGGTCTTCAACTGAGGTGCGTCCGTGGCAGGTGCACCACCTGTCAGGCCAGCTTTTCCAGTGGTTCTACCCGTTGCGCCCGTCACCTGACGAGGGATGGGCAGGCTACACTCTCCCCCCCCCCCCCCCACCCCTCCACAGCCACTGGCAGCCCCAGAGAAAGAAGGAAGTGTACGGATGCCGTCGGACTGGTTCTGCCTTCCACTTCAACACTCGCCTGGCGTGGAGAGAGAGAGAGAGAGGGGCGAGGAGACTGAATGTATTTTTTTTGTTTTTTTTACACCCTCTTCGGCGGCTTCTGATGTCGAGCGGTGTCCCGGCAGGAAAGTAGCCTGAGTGAGCGATTGCAGCATGCAGTCGGACGACACCTATAATTTTGTCTTCAAAGGTGAGTGCATTGATTGTTTGAATGGCTCTGATTGAACTGGATTCCTGTTCCACGGATGTGTCGAATTATGTTTCAATGTGTGCGAATGGATGGTGAGATTTTGCCCTTTTGGAGCCTCCGTGCCATGATTGGCATTATCAAATGTGGTTGAATGCACACACGCGAAACAGTTGCAATTTGCCTTCAAGGAAGTGGTAATTATTTTTTTAAGACCAGCACACTGTAAGATAGCAAGCACTTCAATTCAACTACTAAATTTTAGGCTGGGTGTAGTTCACAAGTATCAAACGGAAGGCCACGAGCCAGATCTGGCCCCTCTACATGATTTTTTTGTGGCCCGTGAACGCAAATCAAACATGTCAACTTCTACAAAGCTTGCTAAAATCTGAACCAAAATTTCAAATTCTCATATGTAATAAGATATTGTAAGCATTTTTCTTACGGCCCTCCAAGAGAAACGCTAACTACAATGTGGGCCGTGCTAAAAATGAGTTTGACACCCCTCTGGTGAGTAGTTGATACTTTTAAAATAATTGCCGTACAGTTCCGAATACAGTTTTTTTAATTCTTTTTTTTTTTTTTTTTAAGTCACCGGACAAAAGTGCAATCAGACTATCACTGTGTAATTTCTCTCAAATCACACTTTGTCAAATTTAGGAAATTGTCAAAAAAATTTTTAATTCAAATGCAACTTTTTGCTGTAGCTTTAGTTTTGTGTTGATTTCCCCCCCCCCCGTGTTCCTGAAAAATTTGCGTATAATTTTGTGACACATTCTTCAAAAATAGATCAATTATTTTATAGCTATAGTCCAACAGCAAGTAATAAACTACTTTTTTGTTAAATGACCAAAATGACATTTTTTTTTATTAAAAATTAAAAAGTACCTGCTTTTAGCTCTGGGTTTTTATCACAAAATGTCAATCATTGCCAACAACAAGCATGTACTGTACAAAAAATTAAATATGAGACTTTTATCCCAAAAAGTTTCCAACATCAAATAAATTGAGCGACAAATTTGTCATTCGTTACAAAAAGTCTGTTTTCAATTAATCCAAATTTTTTGGCATATTGTTGAGAAAAATGTCTTTTCGGCACAACAAAAACTATGTAAAAAGCCTTCAAATTTTCATTTTTTTTAATGCAAGAACTCCAAACATAATTTGTTTTTTACTTTTCTCTGATTAAATAAAAAGTCTTAGTCACTGTCAAACAAAAAGCTGGTATCCCCCCAACTTCACTCATTTTTATTTTCTTTCAGAACAACATCTAAAATATAGTTTCGATGGATTTAAAAAATTACGTATACTGTTAAAACAGACTTAATTAGTGAAGTATTTTTTTCAAAACGCTCAATCCGAATGAGAGCCAAGAGACTCCACCAAAATGGGACATTTTATTTTATAGAAGGGTGTAGCAGCACCCCCTGTTGCTCAGGTGTGTAACTGCAACTACATTGACGTACGGTTGGGCTTGCAGTTGATGCCTCGTTTTGTATTTTTTCTTCAGTGGTTTTGATCGGCGAATCCGGCGTGGGCAAGAGCAACCTGCTGACACGCTTCACCAAGAATGAGTTCAACCACGACAGCCGCACCACCATTGGCGTGGAGTTCAGCACGCGCACCGTCCAGCTGGACAACTGCACCATCAAGATGCAAGTGTGGGACACGGCCGGCCTGGAGCGCTACCGGGCCATTACCTCGGCGTGCGTGCGCACACACACGGCACAGTCGTCATTTTCAAGAAAAAAAGAACAAAAATATCTTGAAAATAAAGTTGGATTTTTGAGCAGAACTCCAAAAAAGTAATCGCTTACTGAACGTGTCAATGTGTTGGTTTCAGGTACTACCGCGGGGCGGTGGGCGCCCTCCTGGTCTACGACATCAGCAAGCACCTGACCTACGAGAGCGCCGAGCGCTGGCTCAAAGAACTCTACGACCACGCCGACCCGCATATCGTGGTCATGCTGGTGGGCAACAAGAGGGACCTGGAGGACCTGCGCACCGTGCCCGCCGAGGAGGCCAGGGCCTTCGCAGGTGACCGCCAACAGCTTTTCCGAGGCTTGAATTTTCTGTCGGCCAATCGCATTGCGCCTCTTTGATCACATGATCTACATCCCATCCGCGTTTAGAAAACAAGGGTCTGCTGTTCATGGAGACGTCGGCGTTGGACTCCAGCAACGTGGAGGCGGCCTTCATCGACATCCTGACCGGTGCGCTCCGCTCATCTTCGCACCACGCCTCTTGTTGGCTGCCGTTAATATCTTCTTCCCTCCCTGCATCTCCCAGCGATCCATCGCAAGGTCGCCAGCCGAGAGGTGACGCGGGGCTCCATCAGCGCCGTGACGCTGTCGGGGACGGTCCGACCCACCAGCGAGGCCCAGGAGGAGCGACGGCGATGCTGCAAAAACTCGTAAATGCTCCCTGTGCCCACCCACTCCTTTTTTTTTTTTTTTTTTTTTTTTGCTACTGACATTTGTCTTTAATGATACACCGGTGCCTTGACTTGCGAGTTGAATTCCTACATGAGCACACTCGGAACTTAAAACAGGGAAATCACAAATCATCCCAACCATTGATATGACGGGAAATTCGGTGAATCCGTTCCAGCGCCCCCCCCCCCAAAAAAAACCACCAACAAAAATGTCTACCACATTGTAGTTTAGATTTTTTTTTCAATCGCGTAATTAAACACAATGTAAAGAATGAAACGGTTTGTGCATGATGCTTTTTCAATGGCCATTGTGCTGCTCCTTCTGGTGTGCATACCTTGGCCATCAGGGGGCAGTATAATACATGCTCAGTAAGCTGCAGCTATAGTAGTCATTTTTGCAGAGGATAAAGACCATATGCCTGTGAGTCTTGTTTATATGCACGTGTTACCATTGGTGTTCAAATAGCAGTTGTTAAAACATTTAGCAATACTGTGATATGGATGCTCGTTTCGTTAACTTGTCTCTGACTTTTTGGATTGTGTGTTAGCATGAAGCTAGTGAACCTCTTTAAGAACTGTTAACTGTCTGCCAAACTGATATTTGTTGTCAACTTGGCTTTCATCATAGCTAACGATCGCAACTCAAGATTTTTCTTCGCAACTTGACAAAAAACAATTGTCGGAATAATTGCTAGCATGTTGAACAAAATACACGCACGCCAAAATGTTTTGGCTGCTTACATGCATTTTTTCCCCCCCCAAATTCCAATCCCAACTTTTAGTCAAGTTGTCGAGCTGTTGTAAAAGAAAGCACTGGCCGTCATTTGGAATAAATAGACATTCACGCAAAGATTCAAATTTATTTATTTTTTTTGGTCATGCCCCAAGTCCCCCAAAAAAAGACTAAAAGCATTTTAGTGCGATCGATGCGATATGAAAGAACACTCCTCAATGTTACTTTTAGTGATTCGTGAGTAGCTCTGAATATAATTATTGTAATTATGGTCAGCATTCTTCCCAAAGTGGCGTGTGGCTTTGGAAACGGCATTTCTACCGACGTCACTCGCGTTTGCATTTTCGTGATAAGTATTTGATGACAGGGCGATAGCAAGCATCATGGAAGTTGACATGCTTGATTTGCTCATGCGGGCCATATAAAATGATGCGGTGGGCCAGATCTGGCCCCCGGACCTTAACTTTGACACCAGTGCTCTAGACAATATTGTGCACCTTACTTTGTGAATTTGTCGCCTGACAGGCGTCTGCAGTCACATTGGTGAGGATTTTGAGATGGAAGTTGCAGTTCCCCCAAAACAAGTCACAATTTTCCGAGAAAGGCATAACAATACAAAATGAAAGTTGACAATTTTTCAGAGGGGGAAAGACAATACATTTCCGGAAATTTCCTTTCGAGTATGTTAAAACACGTCTACATCTTTCCAAATCAAATGCCAGCCGAGGCGCGCCGACGAGTATGATTTAAAAGCAGTGCACCTTGCCATCCATCCGGCCCAAAGCGCCGGGCCGCTGGCGGGTTGCCGTGGCAACCATGGCGTTAGCTGAGAGGCGGCGATCAGGTGACGCCGCCGCAAGAAGACGAGGCGTCAAGTCGCCTCCGTCAGATCACCTTGCAAGCCTGCAAGTGGCAACGCAAACCATTTCCACGAAGCCCGAACACATTAGACTAATTCATTCGGACCCGCACACCCGCGCACCCGCGTCTCACTTAATCCCGTGAGGTGAGCGCAAACGTGGCAAGCCTGCGCACATTCATGGCCCACAACTGGCGGATTCAGTTTTTCAAACGTAATCATTAGCTTTGGAATGTTGAATTTCCAGTTTGGCATTGAACCATTTCGTTTTCATCTCCGTTCAAGTCTTTTAAATAAAATGTCATCTCAAGTTTGTCATTTTCATTCATGTTACGAAACGTTTTTCATTTTGAACCGAGTTTAGTTTTGATGTGTATGCTGTCGTTTTATTTTTCATTTGAATTCAATTCAAAATGTTCATATTTTACTTCGGTCTGCATTTTAAATTTTGAAATTGGATTTTTTTTTTTTAATTGCATTGGAATTTAAATTTTAAATGTTTGTTTTTTTAAATTGGTATTATATTTCTCACTTCACTTTAAATTTAAAATTAGGATTTTGAATGAGGTTTAATGTCAAATTTGTGTTTTTGCCACTTGCTTTTTATTTCACTTTATTGCAATGTGTTGAGTTTGCAGCTGATTTTTAAATTGCAGTTGTATTTTAAATTACATATTTATCCTGCCAAAATACATTGTGATTCAAAATTAAAATTAAAAAGATTAAAATATTTATTTTGTTACTACTTTTTTTCCCGTTTCCTTTGAATTCATTTTATTTTTATTCTATTTTTCAACGTGATTTTAGATTTTTTTTCAGTCAAAACTAATTTCATATTTTAATTTGTTGTTAAATTGATACAATTTTTATTTATATATTTAATTTAGCCTTGATGTTATTTTTCACAGAATTATATACATTTTTTAATTTATTTAAAATCTAAGAAGTACAATCCAACTTTTTCTTTCTTTCTTTTTTCTAGTTCAGGCTCAGTTATTTTTTTCATTATTTTTGCATTCATTCTGTAACTGTAATGTTTAAATATTTGGGTCCATGCCCTGAAGTGTTAAGTGTTGTCCAAGGAGCGACACTTGATCCACTTTTCGGGTGATTTGAGCAAGCCTGACCACGATTACGTTTCAAAAAGCGCTTTGGCCATTGGGGTGAAGAGAAGGAGGATGCAAATGAGGAAGCAGCGCCAGTGCAAGCAGCGAGGGGACAAACGCCGACCAGCCTGAATTTTGGTGAGTGTTTAAAAATTGCCGTAGAAAATAGTATTGTGACTTTTGGTCATACAATTAATTTTTTTTTTCTTAATGAGGTTGTTTTGTTTGGTTTTTTTTCTCCGAAAATGTTAATTATTTTTCCCTTAAATTGTGACATTATATAGTCGTACAATTTTCTTCCTCTCTAGAACATGACTGAATTCAGTTTATTCATGAAAGTTACCACTTTGGTCCGGTAATATTGTGACTACGATGTTGGTTTTGTCATTCAAAATGGAACATCGCCAACTAGTGGTTTGCCATGCTTATTACAGGTTCTAAATAAAATTTAAAGATAAATTACTACGATTTAACTTCTTGCAACTATATAACTGTTGTTTTCTGAAACTATTAAGTCTTGTATTATTTTGAATTCAGTATGATTCTTTTGCATTCAAGATAAAAACATTGCCAACTAGTGGCCTGGCATGCTTATTACAGTTTTTTTTGTTTGTTTTCACATGAAATGTAAAAAAAAATGTAAATTGAAAAATAGAGCAATATAAAAACTGAAATTTAATAATTACAATTTAAGAATTTTAAATAACCCCACAAGTCCAAAATAAAACGCATTTTTGATGCTTTGTTGTCATCGCGGCATACAAATGTCCCCTCACCACATCTGCAGTTACTTCCTGTTTAGGTGTCTCTTGAATATTTTGACGTCCTGCTTCAGAGTCGTGTGAGGCTGCGGCGGCGGCAATGTCTGAACGAGAACCACAAGATGGGAACAAAGCCAAGTGGCCGCTCTACTGCTCGCTCTGCAAAATGGCCGTCAACTCGGCCTCGCAGCTGCAAGCTCACAACAGCGGTGAGGCGAAAGGACAATTCAAAGGGCTTCTGACAAGCGACCAAATAAAGTTCAGCTGTTGACTGTATGTCCGTGTGGAGGCGCCAAGCACAAGACCATGCTGGAGGCCAAGAGCGGCAACGGCGCCATCGAGTCCTTCCCCAGAGTCGGCGGCAGCAAGGGCAAGAAGCCCCCGTCCGAGTCGGCCGGCGGCCTCCGGGACAAAACCTTTCGGTGTCACATCTGCGACGTGCACGTCAATTCGGACACGCAACTTAAACAGGTGCGCCACCCCCCTGCTAACTGCACATAGTGGTGGACACATAATTCCATGAGGATTTAAAACTAAGGTTTCAAACTAGTCTTAGCTTTGCAAAGTCAAGGTTTCAAACTAGGGGTAGGGTTTCAAAGTAAGGTTTCACCATTGCTGAACTTGCAGCACATCAGCAGCCGGAGGCACAAGGACCGAGCGGCGGGGAAAGTGACCAAGCCCAAGTTCAAGCCGTATGTGGCGGGACAACGGCTGCACACCTCACAACCGGTGAGTTGGAGTTCATGCTTATTTTGTCACTACAAATTTGAAAACCACTCTTGGTGGCCTTACTTTATTTTTGACTTCCCGTTCAAAATGTTCCTCCGCTGCCCGTTTCGGGCCCGGATTGAATGGCAACAAAACTTCTCCAATCCGCTTGCTGCCCTTTTCCAGAAGAACCACGATCAGCTCAAACCACCGTTGACGCTGGCCTCGTCTCTCCTGCATGGCCAGCTGGCGGCCACCATGTCGTCGCTGCCGCCCTTCTCCCTCCATCTTGCCACCAACGCCAGCCTGACCCTCTTCCGTGTTCCTCCCCCCACTCGGGCGGTCATGCATCAACCGCTTGTGCTTCCTCACTACTGAATAAATTTTTTTCCCTTCTCTCATCCCTTGTGGTGTTTGTGAATTCCAACCTTTTCAAGCTCCATTCTGTGAGTACTGACATTATTTTTATTTTCATATTTTACTGTAGAAATCTAAGTTTCAGTTTCTAGTTTAATTTTAGTTTAATAATTTTTTGTCTTGATGAGTTATTTTTTTTTCTTCCATAAAAGGTATCTACTTTGTTTAGGAATATAGTTTACTTGATATTTTATGTGCTTTTTATTTGTATTCTTTGTTGTGTATATTTGTCTATAAATCATTTGAATTCATGTAAAAAGGTATACAATTAATACACGAATACAAGAATTAAGTGAATAAAAGCATGCTATAAAAATATTGAAATAATACAAATTCAAACCGTTTTTTTAGACATTTTAGGAGTCGCCGTCCTGCAATGGGGCCGCTGAGGTGACGTCACTGACCGTTGCGGCCAATCAGCACTCGCGGCACGCATTTCGAACTATCCCTCCGGAACAGATACCTTCCATCGCTCGGTTACGCGACAAAAATGCAACGTCTTTCCTGTTGACCGAATAAAACACGCACTTCTTTGTTCAATCAAGCACTGGATTACTTGGATCCAAATAATTCGGGGTAGGTTTACGACCTGAATTGACTGTTTTGAAGTTCCTTTTGTCGTGAAGCTAACGCGAACGAGTGAGGCTGTCAGCTAGCTAACAGTGTTAGCTTGCTGTTGTCCGTTCGGCCATTTTGAGGGGTGAACTTGTTTTGAGGCATTTGGAAGATTTTCCAGTTATCTTTTGTTGCTCCTACAGAGCCATGGTGAGGGAATGGGTCCAGAAAAAGCCACCCCGGCACACTCTGGAGGAGATTAAGGAAAAAATGAAGGTGATGCGCAACAAGCAGCTTGGCCGGGCGGCGGCACGCAGCAGGGGGACAAGAGCCAGACTCGCCCACCAAAGCGCCAGTAACAACACTCGCTCCGCACATCCTCCATCATTCATTGTTGTTGTTTTTATTAATTATTTTTTTTAAATGCTTGCATTTTTTTTTATTACATTTTATTCGTTTTGGTTTAACCTTTTTTTCACATTTTGTCTTTTTCTAGCAATTTCAAATCTTTTTTTTTTTTTTTACTATTTAGATACTTTATTTGTATTTATGTAATTTACAGTTGCTCTTTATTGAGTTCTTCTGTTTAATGTATCACTGTATTTTTATTTTATCTTTTTTTAAATTCACCTATTTGTTCAATTATTCTTTCTTCAACTGTTATGATTGCATGAATATTTTTGTCAGTTTTTCCCCCCTTATTTGCAAAACGTATTTTGCTCATATGTAGTACAGTCAGAGTTAATGTCTGCTGTTCTTGTCGCGGGCATCAGGCAGCATCGTGCCGGGCAGCCTGCTCGTGGCGGTGAAGCAGAACAACACGGAGCTGGCGTTAGCGCTGCAGGCAGAGAAGGAGAAGGTGCGGCAGGCCAACGCCATCATCCTGCAGTTGAAGCAGACCCTCTTCTTCCAGCTGATGCTGCTCAGGAGGAAGCTCCGGGAGCAGCAGGCCCTCACCACTTCCTCCCCTCTGGTAACGAGCTCATCATTATGACATCATCAGGGATGTTTTCATATGAGCGTCCATCGATGTGGTCTTTTGATTCAGGCTGAAGCATCCGAGCTGCCCGTGGAAGCGAATGTGGAGTCACCAAGGTAGTATGTCATCTTTCATATTCATGTGAATAAATAACATCAGTTTTCTAACTTGCTCGGGATTGTGTAGGAGAGAAAAGATCAGCGAGGGCAAACCGTGTGAGGTCTCCCCGATTTGTGCAGGTACGGACAATAAGATATGACGATTCAAATATAAGTCACTAGAGTTATGTGTAAGTAATATGGTTGTCAATGTATGCTGTTAAGGATGAAATAGTGAAGCTTGTTGTCATTGTTTGCAAAACGTATGCGAGCGATGTACATCGTGTTTCAGTTACATTGATGTGAATGGAAGCGGAATGAGCCTCACTCCCCCACCCTCGTATTTTTTTCAGATTATTATTATATATTTCTTTTTGTGTGCCTCCTCTTTATGTCAGTACAATGACAACCTTTCACTTTGCATTGGCAGAGTCTCCTAAAATGGACGTCCAGCCTGACTATGTCCGAATGACTCTGCCTCCTACGGTGATGGTGAGGCAAAGACGCGGCGACAGAGAACGGAAGAGCAGGAGGCGGTCCGATCGCGTGCGCTCCATCGGCGAGGTGGACTTGGGGGCGCTCAGGGCAGAACGCCCCAGACGGCACGAAGACCCCCATGAGGTTTTGAAGGCGCGGGTGGACGATCCCATCTGCGCGCCGGACTCCGAGCCACCCGTCAACACTCGCAAAGATGGCCGCCGTCAGGCGCGTCCCAAAGCGGATGCGTGCACGGCCAAGCCCCCCGAACGAGGACGCAAGCCTGAGCGAGCGCCCCTAAAAAAGCCCTGGGAGAACCCCAAGCGCAGGGCGCGATCCAAAAGCCGGGAGCGCCACGTGCCACCCCTCCAGCAGCTCAACACCTCACTGGGCTTCAACGACACCTTTGACTTTGACTGCGAGGGGGCCGTCCACCTCACGCCCTTTAGGGCCAAGCCCAACCACCCCGAAGACCCCGTTACGGAACCCGCCGGAGACCCCACCCCGGACTCTCTGGCTCCGGACCCCAGCTCGCCGTCATCGCCATCCTCCGAGTCGGAAGACAGCCCGTATGTGCCGAAGAAGAAGCCCCGAAGAGCGTGTGCGTCCCCTGAGACCACCAAGTTCATCGCCACTCGCAGGGGACGAGCCGCCAACACAAACGCCAGCCGGCCAAAATCTGGTCAGCATCGACATTCAGACATGATCTGTTTGTTTTCCTTGTTAACAAGCACGCGTACATTCACCCTCACAGTGACAGACCAGGAGTGGCAGCAGGAGGATCCGCAACCCAATCAGGAAGTCGATGGGGTCCACCAAACGAGTTTCTCAAACAGTCCTCACTCCGCGTGTCCACAAGGTCAGTCGATGGCGCTTGGGTGCAAAAAAAATTTGTGTTGGCATATTTTTGTGGTCAACTCTTTCTTCCCCCAGCCCTCAGTCTTACATAAGTCACATATCGCCCGGTGCCCAGGCCGAAACGTCCTTAGACTGTAACTGAAATTTGGCATATGTTTCTAATTTGTCTGAACAGAAGCGCTGAGCCAGGACATTGTGGGCAGCGCCTTCCCCTCAGTCAGCACCTTGACGGAAGTTGACATGACCATTGATGATGTCCTCTCCCGATTCGGGGACTCCCTCTGTGAAAATCAGCCTCCGCCACCGCCTCCTCCTTCCGCACTCGCCAGCCGCGTGCTCCAACAGCAACGCCAGCGCAAGAAATGTATGTCGTGATTCCCGAATCCTGCCCGTTTGTCCACTGGGTGTTAGCTTAGCATTAGCGCTCGCCTCCTTTTCTCTTGGGGAATCACCGTGCGCACGTCTCCTTGGTCTTTTCCTCTTCGCACTTGTGTCAAATCTCTCCAGGTGGGCTCGGTGGCTCCAGGCGGGCGCCGGGATGCGTCGGCTTGACCCTGAGTGACATGACCAATCTGTCGCCCGTAGCCCGCCGCCGCTCCTCCCAAACGCTGTGCTCGTCCACGCCGGCGACCCCACGGATGCGACGACGCACCCTAGTGGTGGACTACAAGGAGCCCTCCTTGAGCGCGTATGTAACATGCCGTTCGTGTTTTGTAGGCACATTATTCAGAATTTACATTTTCATGTCATTTAAAATACAAATGATGACATTTCATTGGGCCAAAAAAACAGTCAATACATTTTTAGCAAGAAAAGTGTGAAAAATGGCACTTTAGAATTTTGTTTTTATCTTAGAAACAATGATTACATTTGGTTTGATAACTGCCAAGAATTAAAATACTCAAACGATTTGATTTCCCAAATATGAGAGTCAGTGGGATATGTATTTGTGGATCAAACGACACGGTATCAAAATGATGCATCTCGTTTGACCGACGCCTTCGTCTCACCCGACAGGAAACTCCGGCGCGGGGACAAATTCACCGACTTGCGATTCCTCCCGCCGGGCTCGCCCGTTTTCAAGAACAAGTTGACAGGCGGGCCTTCTCGAGCGTCCACCAGCACACGCGACAAACTAGGCAAATATAACGAGTCGTTTGTTGGATGTCGTTGATGCTTTTACCCCCAAAAAGTGTTTCGAACTGAATGCGTTTCAAAAGCAACATTGAGAGTCAAGTAACGTGAAAATTCTTACAAAACAGGAAGCTGATATTGCCCCTTTTTCTTTCACATTTAACACTTTTCAAAATAGGCACTGTTATTTGCAAGAAATGCAAAAATAAGGCAAAAAAATGTACATTTTGACTCCTTTTTCACATTTGCCTTCATTTCATTTGCTGCAAAGACCATTGACCAAATCTTCAGTAAAAAACAGAATAAAATACACAAATCTATCTGCGGAAATGACAACTTAAGTCATTGATTTTTTTTTTTTTCCTTCGTTGAATACGTCCCTAAATAGGCAACAATCGTACGAAGGCCGTTATTGAATAAATGGGGCACAAAATATATTTTGTAATTTAAAATGTATGTCTTGTTTTGGAATGCATGCTTTGTTAACAAATCGAGTCTGCATAAAATGAGTAGGAGCATTTGCATCAAACAAGTAAATATTTTTTTGTTTTTTGTTTTTTTGCTCTTGGCAGAGAGTCTCATTTTGCAATAAAATGTATTTTTGGAATCAATTATCCAATCCATTATTTCATCGATTCCTCGAGTAATGCCTTTTTTTTTTTTTTTTTTTTTTAAACAAGTATCTCATTTTGACATTTAAAAGAAGCGTCTTGTTTCACTATAATACAAATTTTACTTTGTAATACAAATGAGTTGTCATGTTACTTTTTAAATTCAGCAGTTCTATTTTTGGTCATTTACAAAATGCTAAATCGTTTTTTCATGAGTGCTGCAATGAGCAAACCGGCATTGGCACAGTTAGAAGCCCGAATTAAGCACATTTTGTCATATTTAAAACAGGTTGTTTTTTTTAAAACAAGTATCTCATTTTGACATTTAAAATAAGCGTCTCATTTCACTATAATAAAAATTTTACTTTGTAATACAAAATGAGTTGTCATGTTACTTTTTATATTCAACAGTTCTATTTTTGGTCATTTACAAAATGCAAAATCGTTTTTTCATGAGTGCCGCAATGAGTAAACCGGCATTGGCACAGTTAGAAGCACGAATTAAGCACATTTTGTCATATTTAAAACAGGTTTCGATTTATTTATTTTCCCCCGGATTGTACACAGACCTTACAAAAGATGCTCAATGAACACGACGCACTTTTTAGAACAAGCCTTTCCATTTTATTCCATCTATAAAAGCGGCTAATACTGCGTCGTTAAAACCAACTGTACAAAGATCACCTCTTCCAATTTTTTTTTTTTTTTTAAACCTTTATAAAAAACAGAAAAGCTACACAGTATTGCACAAAGTATAAAGTTATCAATCTCTATCCGCAGCACAAATATATATTTACCAGGAGAGAAAATAAATTAAGACTTAGTTGAATTGGTTAAACAGCAGTCAAAAGTCTGGAAAGGAAAATGCTTGGGCTAAGAGAATAAAAAGTGCAATTTTTGATAGTCACGCGGCTGCCCTACATGAAAGAAAATCCACTCTGTGTACCGTATTTTCCGCACTATAAGGCGCACGAAAAGTCTTCTATTTTCTTAAAAGCTCACAGCGCGCCTTAAAAGCCGGTGCGCCTTGCTAGAGACATGCTTACAATGTTATCACTTGCTGTTGATTCAGTGAACTGTGTCACTGCTTAATTGAATAAGTTTTTGTTGCAGCTCCGAAAAAAGGAGAGCTGTGGTGTTGTGTTTTTAAAACGCGCAATTATTAATGGTTTTCACAGTCTCAACAAATACAAGTACGTCTTTGTCCGTCTCCGTGCCATCTCTTCTTCCGTTCGACTTGAGAGACGTTCATAACCGCCTCCGAACAACGTAAATTAACGATTCCTTCAGTGAAACTACGAAAATTGAAAATAATGCATCAAAAGAGAAAATCAAGCGAGGAAATCACAAAATAAATTCTATTTCCGCCCCCCCCCCCCAGAATTTATTTTGGGATTTCCTCATTTGTGAATACACAACAAAGGAATAAATAACAAACACTTCTGAGACAGTCCAGTCTCCGACATGTTACTGACATCTGATCGTTCTGTTGGAGCTCCACGTAAGGAAATGCCAAAGGGGGCTATAGAATTTTGTGATTTCCTCGCGTGATTTTCTGTTTTGATGCATTATTGTCAATTTTCGTAGTTTCATTGAACTAATGTTAAATTACATTTTTCAGAGGCGGTCATGAACGCCTCTCGAAGTCGAACGGAAGGAGCGTAGCTACATCTAGTGGTTGCATTGTAGATTGCGCCTTATAATTCCAGTGCGTCCAATATATGAAAAATAAATTGCGCCTTTTAGTGCGGAAAATACGGTACATTGTTCATACACGTAGAGCAGAAAAGGGGTTGGGGGTGGGGCTTGGCTGCCGCTGCGTTTTTAACCGGACGGTGGCGGAAGACGGAAGCTACTTGTCGATGAGGCCGGCCTCCTTGATCTTGGTGTAGAAGAACTTCTCGAGTAGGTTGGCGCACTTGTAGTACTCGCTCTCGGGCGGGTTGTACTCGCGGCAGTTGGTGAAGACGCGCTGCATGTCGGCCATGAAGAGCTTGCGCGTGGTGTAGTAGCGACTCTTCAGACGCTCGCTCATTGTCTTAAGGTCTTGGCACCATATGCGCGTTGGATCAGGTTTATGTCGTTAAAAAAAAAACAAAACAAAAAAAAAACATTCATTACCAGCCAATTCTGGACCAAGTCTGAAAAGACGTTTAAAAACGTCTTTGGGAGTGAATGAGTTAATGCCTTACTTCCATTGTGATCTAATGTTGCAAGTGTAAAGGTCTAATTGACTCACCCATGGGGAAGCGGATGACTTGGTAGTAGCCCGGCGCCTCCGTTTTCTTCACGGGTTCCATGAAGGGCCAAGCGTTCTGGTGACTCTTTAACGGCAGAGACAAAAGGGTGAGAGTCAGCCATGTTTTGCGTGTGATGTAAATCGTGTGCAAGTCACCTTGACGTGCTGCAGGATGTTCTTGAGCGCGCCATACAGCTGTTCGGGGTCCTTTACGTCCTTCCTGCGGCAGGGGTGGGGGGAGCGGCAAACGTTAATCCGACGTCACAAAGCGTGCACGCGGCGCTCGTGTCACTCACCCTTTGGCCAGCGGCTTCCAGCCGGTTTCACCTGCGGGCGCACGCACATAAGAGAGGTCAAATGAGAGACGGCGAGTTGGCGGGCAAAAGATGGAGGCGGGCGCACGCACGGATGCCAGGGATGCTCTCGATGGGAATCTGCCTGACGCCGTCCTTGAAGCACGAAAGGCCCGGGTAGACTTTGCGGATTTGGCCCTGCTTCCTCTCGATCAGCTTCTTGATGATCTGGACCGGCGGAGGCGAGCGACAAGCACTTTGATTTCCCTCTCACATTTGCACACGTTGCTTTGAAACCGTAACCCCGGTTTAAAACCCGACTTTGAAACCATAAACCTACTTTAAAATCCGACAAAACCAATTCCAGTGAAGTCGAGACGCTAACCCTAGTTTTAAACCCTACTTCCAAACCCTAACCCTAGTTTTTGAAATCCTAACCCGAGTTTGTCAGGCTTAACAGAAACCCTCACCCTAGTTTGAACCCATCCTTTGAAACCTTAGCTAAAACCGCACGCTCTCACACACACATGCACGCACACCTCTTTTTGTTTCTTGATGATGACGGAGAACTCGGTGTAGGGAATGCTGGGGTTGAGCTCGCAGCCCATGAGCGTGGCTCCCTCGTAGTCCTTGATGTAGCCCACGTACTTTGCCTTGGGCACCTTGATGTCCTTGGAGAAACCCTACGCGAGGTGACCGGCCCCGTTAGCCGGCCGCGTTCACGAGCACCGCGAGTGGTAGTCGCTGGATTACCTGCTTCTTGAAGTAGCCGATGGCGTACTCGTCGGCGTAGGTGAGGAAGTTGAGGACGTGGTGCTTGATGTGATACTCCTTAAGGTGGTTCATCAGGTGGGTGCCGTACCCCTGCAAACGACCACATCGTAGTATGCGATGTGTCGATGTCGAGGGGACTGGAAGTCGATGCACGCAAGTCATCCCACCTTGACCTGCTCGTTGGAGGTGACGGCGCAGAAAACGATTTCAGTGAAGCCTTGAGAAGGAAACATCCGGAAACAGATTCCGCCGATGACACGGCCGTCCTTAATGAGCGACAGCGTCTTGTGCTTCCTGTTCAAACAAAGCAAAACAAAATGAACCGCAAACGGTGCGATGGCGGCGGCATTACCACGGCTGGGCTCCAACTCACGGGTCAAAGACGAGACGTGTGATGTACTCCTTGGGCATGCGAGGCAGCTGGTGCGAGAAGACGTTCTGCAGGCCCACCAGCCACATGAGGATCCTCTTGTTGGGCTTCTGGTTCAAGGCTCGTCGCGCGCCGAGTGGGCCGACAGCAGGCTGGTCTGATGACCGTAGACCAAACAAAAAAAATGACTGAACACCAAGAAATGTTTGCTTCGCTTTGCTATAGATGGAGTTCAGGATCCTAGTTGTGAGAGCGCCCCCTTGTGCTCACCTCCGGAACAGTGGCGGGGT